AAGAGTGAATTAAAATGGAATTTGTATTAATGGATATATTATTACTTTAAGTATATTATATTTTTGGAAAGTTTGCTGAATCTACTTTCCAATGAAATAAACGTAAGTCGAATCAGAGTTTTCTATTAAGAGTTGTCTAATTTTTACTTAATGATATGTAGACTGCCTGACAACAGTAGCAATGAGGAATTACAAAATTTCTCTTAATTTTTATACAATCAATTACGAATTGAGCCATACATGTTTAAAAAGGTTATTGAGTTTATAATCCAATGAAACAAGCAGAATTGAATTTGGAGTCTGTTATGAATAAATATGTCATTTTGATTACAATATATACATGCTATCTGGTAGTAGCATATGACATGGATTGCAAAAATTATTACAATTAATCTACAATAAATTATGAGGTGGGCCACATATGTTGTCATAACATCTTGATCCGGGGATCCATTACTAGATATTATTTTTAGGAGTCGTTACTAATCTTTTTTATTTAGGTGCGATTAGCCACATAGAAAATTTATCTATTTTAAGGAACACCTAAGCCTAAGGTTCCCTAAAAGAATAGTTTCAAGTCTACTAATCAAAACAGGGTTCGAGAGTACGGTTACGTATGAGAAGGGTTATAGCACCCTCACAACGCCCATCAAAAGATGGTACTAGCTTAATTTTATGTTATCCAATAAGCCTTAAAAATTTACCAAGTAATTAATTATTGGAAATTATTCTCAATTAACTCTAATACTTTTAGCAGAAAATAGAAAAAATTTCCTCACCACAAGAGTATGCAAGGAAACTACTGTTTCACTTGCAGAGGCTCTATCGTCGGATTATTTAACATTAAAAAAAAATCAAAAAAGAAAAGAAATAAAATGAAAAAAAAAAACAATAATAATTCAACTTTAGATATAAATCCTTTTCTCTTCAAAAACTCATTGCTTTTGTACAAGAAAAATTGATACTTTCAATATTTCCTTAAAAGCATCTGAGAGTTTCTATTTTAAGGAAAATTGATACTTTCAACTTTTCCTTAAAACGTTTTTTTTTAAGAAACATTGATACTTCCAACTTGTTCCCAAAATGTTTTTCTGAAACTTTAATTTCGAGAAAAATTGATACTTTCAACTTTTCCTCAAAAACATTTTTTTTAAATTTATTTTTAAGGAAAATTAATACTTTTACGTTTTCCTCAAAAATATTTTTTAGAAAATTATTTTCAAGGAAAATTTATTCTTTCAATTTTTCCGCGAAAATATTTTTTAGAAAACTTATTTTCAAGAAAAATTGATACTTTCAACTTTTGCTCAAAAATATTTTTTAGAATTTTATTTTAAGAAAATCATTAAAAAATAAAATAAAATAAAAATGAGAATAAAAATAAAATAAGGAATACCAAATTATTCTAATCTAATCAATAAATAATAATAATAATAATAAATAAGGAAAAAAAAACTTTTGGAACGGTTCGGCTTGACTTAATGCAGCTCGGCTTGAAAGATAGAAGTGGTTCAAACGTGTGGCTCGGCTCGACTCAACTGGGGTCCAGGTAAAGACACAGTCGCTAACCGGGTTGGCGCTCGGGTTGGGTCACCCGATTTCAAAACGTGCGAATCTTCTGGGAATAGTAAGGCTAAAACGACATTGTTTTCGGTCAATATAAAAGGCTCCAACCTCTATTTTTTCACAGATTGCTTCCTTCCTCCTCTCTCTCTTCATTTTTTTCTCCTTTTTCTTTCTAAATAGAATCCAGATTTCGGTTGAATGTCTACTAGAATCTAGAAAAATAGGTCAAAAACTTCAAAGGTGGCCGAAAATCTCGTTGAAAAACTTGAATCTTACTAAAAAATTTCATCGGATTCTGAAAAATTTTTAGAAATTTTTAGAAAAAAAAACTTCAAAAATTCTAAAAAATTTCCCACAAATTCCTAACATTGTTTCTAACGCACTAGAAACTTTTTTAGCCTCTATTTCCTCTCTGTGTATTTTTTGATCTTTTTGTGTGCTCTCTGTGGACTTATATATAAAGATTGATCAGAAGAGTTTTTGATCAATCCTAACTCTTTCAAGGATTTGGATTCAATCTTTGAATCCAATCCTAATTCTGCCAACCTCTAATTTCACGGTCAAATCCAATTTTTTCTGATCCTAATCCTAGCCAAAAATCAATCAAGATAAAATAAAAAAATACATATTAATAATTAATAGATAAATAATAAAATATATATATTAATAAATAATAATAAAATAAAAATAAAATAAAAAAACAAAAGGGCTTACCCATTTGGACCAGGCCCAATTGATCCGGGCCTGTACCAAATTGGGTGTCTACATATGTTTGAAAAGGTTTTTGAGTCTACTTTTTTATTAAACAAACGAAATTGAATTTGGAGTGTTTTATGAATAAATATATAATTTTTATTAGAAGATATACATACTATCTGATAGCAGCATATGACATAGATTACAAAAGTTATTTCAATTAATCTATATGAAATTACGAGGTGGGCCATATATAGTTAAAAAATTTATCGAGTTTAATTTCTAACGTACTAAAAATATTTTAATTTTGAGTTGGATATCTTAAGATAGGATCATTTTAGTGAAAGTAGCATAGGCTACCAAAATTAGTTATATAACTTAGTTGTTTTTAGTATTAATGGTCTTAAAGTGCATTGATTAATATCTGTTATATTGAAATGATTTTGAATTGTCCATTAATTGTTTTGGGGGAAAAACTAAGTGGTAGAACCGAAAGGAAATAAGTAGAATCTTACACACTTTGCTTATTTTAAAACTTATGTATATATATATATATATGTTTCTAAATAAATGAGATTTATTTCTTTATTTTCGATATAAGAAAATAGGCTGAGCATATGATTATTTTACGTTTTGCTATATAAATGATGGATCATGTTTATAAATGAAATGAGAAATTGATTTATGTTTAATGAATGATTTTATAATAGCTACATATTTTACATCTTGAGAAGTGGGATTATCGATACTAGAACTAATTATACGACCCTAGCTAACGGATTATAGTAGTTAACATAGTCACGATCAAATGGTACTGCTAGTGAGTCATAGTAGTTAGTGTAAAGGTCTGGCTAACAGGTTATAATAGTTACTAAAGATCATAAGGATAAAATTATCGATATTGCCAATGTTACGGATTATAATAGTGATCATAATTAATGATAAACTAATGATAATGATGATTTATAATGATGATGATTTTAAAGATTGATTCATGATTTGATTTGATTACAATATTTGAATGGTAACATATTTTGTAATGATTTATGAATTGATATGTTTTGATTTTGATTTATGATCTACAAAATATTTGACATAATGTTGATTTTTGAAATATTTTGATGTATTATTTGACAAATGTTTTGAATTATCTATATGATATGTATGAAACCAATGTTTGATCCGATAAAGTGTATGATCCTATACTAGCTTAACTGTAATTTGTTCATTCTCTTTCTACCTTTTCTTTACACATGAGTAACTGATAAATATGTTTAGTCTTATTAAAAGCTAGAAGATCAAATTAGAAATATTACTTGGGCATTAAAAATATTGTTAGCTAGTGAGATCTTATGAAATTATTTTATATGTTTTTTATGAATTAACCTTTGGATATATAGAGATGTATCATTAGTTAGATTAAATTTATGAATTTTACTTGGGCAAATTATTTTTATTAAAGAATTTTAAAATGATTAAGAGAAAAAATTTTGTTTTACTTTAAAGTTTTATTTGAAGATAATATAACAGTGTTACATCTTAGTTTTGGGGTATGACACCATTAGTAGACAAGTCTTGACCAGATTGGATTACGTATCAGCCAATTTGTCAGGCATTGCAACAGATTTCAGGTAATTGGAGAGTCTGCTAACATGACAGGCTTGAGCTAGTTTAATTTCTGCTTTTTGCTGTGAGAAATATTCCAATTGAAGGAGGAAAGATAGATAATTTGATTATGAACTGCGAATCATTTTTGTAGTATAGTTAGACTCTGAAGTGAGGAGGTTAAGATTACTCGCGAAACATCCTTGAGATGGAAACTTGGGAAGTGAGAGCAGCGACTCGTTTTGGTACTTTCAAAAATATGATGCATACTGAAGGATGACAGAGTTATCATTCTTTCCTGCATCAATTTTGTCACGGTCCAAACTTATTGTTCTGAAAAGCACTAGCCAAAGGCAAGACATGGATGCCGTGACTATTCTCCTTTCCTACCAGGTCCTTAAGCGCCTTCTTCTTGAAAGTCCAGCTGCCAGTTCTCAGGTTGAAATGGTATAGAGGAAGAAATCGTTGGCCATAGATGGCTACGAACTCCAACGCCGCAAGAATGTATTCAAACTCCTCATTTGACATGTAGTAAGGAAAGCTGACTCTTGTCCATCCAGGTTTTGCTCCTATGTAGCCCTGCAATCAAACTTTGCAATTGGCATTAGATAAGTTGAATTATATTTTACTTCTCTTTCATTTGGTCAAAAAAAAAAAAGGAAAATTTTGTACTGATACCCTTTTAATAGCTTCTCTGAACGCAAGGGATCGAGTCTGATCAATATCAAGCAAACTGTGGCCATAAGGTCCAGCACAAGCACACCCATCTCGATCTTGGATGCCAATCAGATCATTTAGGATGGTTGCAACAAAAGGGCCATGGAGAGGTTTATCCCTCTTGTTCCCAGTCTCTCCCCACATGAAAAGTCCCTTACCCTTTTCACCGCCCGTTCAACATTGTTTAACCTCGTTGGTTGTGGAGTAGATGAGGAAAAGACATATGGCTTGTCTCTGGGCTCGGTGCTTGATTTCTAAACCCGTTATGTTTTGGTTTGGAGAAAGCCTCATCCAATGCTTGATTTATGTCCATACTTCTCCTGCTTTGGCAATCACTCATAACCAATATATTCTTTTTACCCAAAAGTCAATGCTGCTGCTAACAATCTGAATTATTTGAGGAGTCCCTCCCATTTTCCCCTTTCTTCTCATGTCATCTTACATATATTGTGTCCTGCAAAATACATACCCCATTTTACCACATTTTAAATTGCATACCTGCTTCCCTAAATGCTGGGGGAATGAATCTGATAATATCATGATAACTTATCATTCTATGTAGAAGTATTTTTTATGACACGTCGTGCCTTTAGGAAATTTGGTTGGAAAATCTCTTTTCTTCTTAAAATTGTAATTAAAATAAAAAAATTTTTTAGAGACACTTATCATTCACTAGTCTATGTCTAAACCCGCTCCATCTGAATCAGGAATTTATTTCTAAACTCCAAAAAGCCTGACAGCTACCTAATCATTCTTTATGTCGTCCAGTCGAAGAAAGAAACCAAAATTTCTTACAAAATGGGATATATAAGCAAGAATAAGAAAAAGGTAAAGAAAATACAAATTTCCATTTTATTGTAGAGAGGTGAACAAAAAATAAAATCTTTCATCTATTAAATTGAATTAATCTGAACACAAAAATATAATAAAAATCTCTTCATTTATTATCAATTAATTTTAAATTTGAGTGTAATTACCTGTTCATTGAAGCCATTGACATAATTAACAGTTCCACCTCCGCAAGTTGATGGAGGAGAAGATCCCAGCCGGTAGAGAGTCTTGCTCATTAAAAGGATGCCGGGCGTTCCAGGGCCACCTAGAAACTTATGTGGGCTTAGGAAAATGGCATCATATCCATCAATCTCCCCTGACCTCATATCAATCTCCACATAAGGACCACTATCCACAAAAACAAAATGATAAGCACTATCAAAAATCAACTTCTCATTGCTTTATAACATTAACATAATACATAAAACTTGGCTAATAATTAATTGTGAGATCTGTTATTAAAATATTAAACTTTTAATTTTAACAATCAAAGATTAAATTCTGACAACCTCGAATATAAAAGCTTGACAACAAAAAATGAAAATTCTTACTGTGTACCTTGCTGCAGAATCAAAGCAAACAAAACCTCCGTACTCATGAAGAAGTTTGGCAATCTCTCGAGTATCTGTTTGAATCCCAGTCACATTACTACAAGCTGAAAATGAGCCAAGCAAAGGCCTATTGGCGTATTTATACAGCTCAACCTGTTTTCTTAGTGCTTCAATGTCTATGAACCCATTCTCATCTAAACCAATCTCAACAACTTCAGCAAGGCTGTGACGCCAAGAAAGCAAGTTTGAGTGGTGCTCGTAAGGGCCAATAAAAACTACCCATCGATACTCATTCGGTAAGCAATTTATTACCATGTCCCTCAAAATTGATGGTACCGTAATCCCCATAACTTCTTGTAGCCTTTTAATAGCAGCCGTGTTGCCTGAGCCACAAAACAGAATTGCATCATCTTGACCGCCTCCTAGGCTTCTTTTAATGTAGTTTGACGCTTCATGCACCATTTTCGTCGTCCTGTGCCCCACGTAACAGTCAGACGTGTGAGTGTTACCTACGCACGAACCAACCAAGATCAGCTGACAAATACTAAAACCCTAATATATATATATATATATATATTATACTCGGAAATGACGCCATCACTTTTGTTAATTAAATCAGAGTATCACAATTGAAGATCAGAAGAAAAAAAACCTTTACCGTAGAATGGCAGAACATTGGTGACGATGAAGTTTTCGATATAGTGAAAAGAGCGACCCGATGCAGTATGATCAGCATAAGTAAGTTTTCTAGTTCCAAAAGGAGAGTCAAATTCTGCATCACCACCAGTGATTTGAGATCGTAGCCAAGACAGCTTTTTCTCGGTGGAGTCAACCTTTGGCACATCCATCTCTAGAGCCCTGAATGATTCCGAGCCATGGAAGAGTTTGCTGGAAACATAGGAACGGCATGTTGATCCTGGTGACTTATGCCTGTCCCTGGTTGAAGTCTTACTATCATTTGCTGCCTTCAATTTCAGGGCTTCCGTTGTTTCTCTAAACATGGGTTGCTCAAACTCCATTTCCCACCTGGAAACAAAGATTAGTGCCTGTTTTTATTGTTGTTGTCGCTTATGACAGGAGAAAGAATGGAAAAAGTAGTTGTAGAAGAAGAAAAAGATAAGAATGAGGGTAAGGAAGGCAGACTTCGTTATTTATATCCTATTAAAATACAAAGTAACCTTTTGACACGGTTTCATTTTTTTAATTAATAAAACAAAAAGACAAAGTTTTAGGCGTGAGGGGGGTTTGACTCCGAAACCATGGCCTCTACACTCCAATAAGAAAAATATTGCTGTCTCAGAAACAATGGGATCTCTAAAAAGGATTGAAAAAAAAAAAAAAAAACCTACAGAAAATAGTAAGCCTACGTTTGGAATATATTATTCCTTGGAGTGTAAGAATTTCCATATTTCTCATTCCTCTCCCTAAAATTTGATTATGGAGTATCAAATAGCCCAAGCAATTGTTAGAAAAACATTGAACCTTTCCTGGTCTACTTGGTTTGGAACGTGATGTATCCAATCTGCCGTATTAATAAGGAGAGCATTGCTATTTAGAGGTGTCAATAATATACCCATACTCACGAGTTATTCATTTTATAAATTAGATTACTTAATTGATAAAAAGAATGAGAATTTTTGTATCTCATTATAATTTGCACGGATAGTTATGATTTCAAAAGAGTAAAATGTGTAAAGAAAGCAAAGAATTTGATTGCTTTTCAGAAACTTAATATGATTTTGGCAATATGCATGATAATTTTATTAATGATTATTCATCAATAAGTAACATTTATGAATTAAAATTAAATTTTGATTTATTGAAAAAGTATTAAAAAAATCAGTTAAAAAAAATAAATGAAAGAATGAAGAAACAAACAAACGGATCAAATAAAAAAAAAATAAAAAGAGAACCAACACAAAATAAAAGTAGTGAAATAGATCTTCAAACCAATACTCCACCACACTCAAGGCTATTCATTTGTATTTGTGATGAAGTGGCATATTAAAAATAAATAATTTAATTTAATTAAGAATGATTTAAGATAAATAATAAAAATTTGATTACTAATTGATATAATTTTAACTATAGAAGGTAAATAATACATACTCTTTAAGGTAATGTTGTTCTTTCCAAAATAGTTAAATATAAAAATAAGCCATTTATTATGCATTTCTTATCAATTTGGCACCAAAAAAATAAAATATTTAGTTTGGCACTCTAATTTTCTTTCTTTCATCACTTTGTTATCGGAAACTAGCGTCATCAGTCAATTTATTGACGTGATATAAATATCTAATAAGATATTAACACATGCTGAGAAAATCTAATCAATGTCAAATCATCAATATTACATCCGAATTTAAAGAAAATTTAAAAAAATTTAAATATTTTTTAAAAAATATTTAAGCATTTTAAAAATTATTTTAAAAACAAAAACTAAAATTTTAAAAATTTTTAAAAATTATTAAAACTTAAAAAATTAAAAAAATCTCAAAATTTTATTAGAAAAATAAAAAAATTTTGAAATTTTCATAAAAATGATAATTTTAGTAAACATAAAGTTTTCATAAATTTAAAAAAAAAATCTCTAAAGCTTAAAAAATTGAAAGTAAAAGATCTAAAATTTTTTGAAAATATCTAAAAATTTTAAAATAATTGTAATTCTTATAAATTAGGAAAATTCTTCATTTTTTTAATCTTACAATTTTAATTTTCTTATATATTTTGTGATTTTTTACATTTTTTTAAATGTTTATGGATTTTTATTAAAATTTTAAGTTTTTTATTTTATATTTTTCAAAAAATTTAATTTTTAGTAAATTTCTTAGAATATTTCATATTTTTGAAATTTTTTTAATTTTTTCAAAATTTTTGAAAATATTTTATAAAATTTTAGATTTTAATAAAAATTAGATTTTTTGTAATTTTCAAATTTTGTCAAAAAATTCTAGATTTTTTAGTTTTTGTGAACCTATTTTTTTTAATTTTTTAGAATATTTTGGATTTTTTTTGGATTTTTTGTCAAAATTTGAGATTTTATGAATTTTTTAAAGTTTTGATATTTTTTTAAATTTTATGTTCAAATAAGATTTCATATTTATTTAATTTTTCTAATTTTAAAAATATTTTAGCTTTTAAATTTTGTTGAATTTTTTTACTATTGATGTGGTAATTGATGATGTGGCACTACTAAACTTTTTGATACATGTCAGTATCTTATTAGATGTTAATGCCATGTTGACAAATTGAGTAATTGCTTTAGTACGAGGTATCAAAGTAAATGGCGAAATGAAAGTTAAAGAACCAAATTGATAATTTTGTTTCTTAAAGTACTAAACTGACAGAAAGTGTATAGTACATGAAATATTTTTATATTTAACTTTTCCAATCATGAAAAAACCTAAAAGAGACTTGAAATTGTTATACATGTAATCGATAATCATTCCTTAGTGTTGACCTTTAGAGTTCAAAGGATGTCTCATACCCAAATAATTTTTGGGTTTTTCCTACATGTAATAATAATATTAATTACCAAATTACTGCTTAATTTGAAAAAAAAATGACATTAATATAAAGATAAATGTACATAAAAGAGAAGTTCTTTGTCCTTAGCTCTTTCCCTAAACAGTTGGATCTCTAGCTCTACCTGTAAATCATTTAACGAAACACAAATCAATTGATTACGTCACAACATATAAGTGATTTAGTTACAAATTATGATTCTTCTCAAACAATAAAATGATGGGTGATTGTGATTGGAATGAAACAATAAAAAATTTTCATCGATGCCTTTCGTTGCTGTTTCAGACACAGACTTGGCAATGGTAATGATAAAATGATTAGTGACTGTGGCCATGATTAAATTTTTAAAATAATCTAATGATAAGAGAATAATATGCAACATATCTTTCAAATTTGAAATAGTAAAAAACAAATCTAATCAATTTTAATCCAAATATACATTTAATATTTTTGGTCAATATATTCTTGAAAAATGATTAAATTAAAAAAAAAAAGAAAAATTCTAGAATTGACATTTATGAATTCAAGATTTATACAAAATTTTTCATATTTGATAGGTTTTCATTTTGAATTTAAATAATTTATCAAATAGAATTACTTTATAAACCCATTTTAGAGATAATATATTATTACAATTGAGATTTTTATATTTAAAAAATATGTTTATATTATTAGGAAATTTATTTTTAATAAAAATATATCTAAATTAGATTTTATTGTTAACAATTTTAAAATTATCCATGTAGATATCCATATAAGTTAATTTTTTGTGGTAAATTCCTATGTGTCAAAAAATGATATATATATATATATAGGCATTTACATATCCCATAATACTTACATCTAAAATTTGAAAGTTTTCGATAACTAAATTTTTTTAAATATATTATTTCTTGATAAATAGCCTAAAATTAAGAAATGTCTTATATGTCGTTATAGAGAAATTTTAAGAATTTTATCACATGTCGAAAAGAAAAACCATCAATGTAAGCAAACCTTATCATGTAACAATGTATCCTGTAATATAATATATATTATATTTTTTTAAAAGATTATTAGTTATCCAAGTGATAAAAATAGTCATACTTGACACAGACCCCAAGTCTTAAGATTTCACAATGTATATAATAAACTTTAATTTTCCATGTGTACATATACTAACAAAGTAAAATAACAACATAAAATGTCAACCAATGATTCTCATCATTCAAGCATAGATTTAAATATCACATAGATATTCCAAGCATAAAGGGAAAGGTCCAACATAGAGACAAACCATAATGTGTGAGTATAAAAGACAAATGATATACTCTTAATAATAAATTACATCAAAAGACCCTAAAATACCTATGTTCTCAATATGTTTACCAAATACTATAGGTCTTATTCCTGTAGTCCAAGGATCAACAATCACGTTGTTAGTCTGAATGTGTTTGACAACAATATTATAATTTTTCATAAAATCCCTAACTTTAAAATATATTATCTCCAAATGTTTAAACCACTAATGCTCTTGTTGTTCTTAGAAAACAACATAGTTGACCTATTATCCCAATAAATCTTTAAAGGTCTGGAGATGGAATTAATAATACAAAGGCCTGACATAAAATTCATAAGCCAAATTGCCTATGTAGTAGCTCTATCGCATGCAACAAACTCAACTTGCATAATGGAAAAAAATAAGAGTGTTTGTTTCACATATTTCCAAGACAAAGCTCCTACATCGACATAAAAAAATACCTTGAAGTGGACTCCATGTCATCCTAACAACTAGTGAAGTTAGAATTTATATACCCTATTATCTGAAGATTGTCCATTTTTTTGTATACCAACGTATGGTTTTTTTGTCTTTTGCAAGTACCTAATCACCTTCTTAACAGCAACCTAGTGATTCATACTAGGATTTGAAAGATATCTCTCAAGAACTCACTCTGCAAAAGCAATATCTAGCCTAGTACAAACTTGAGCATACATGAGACTCCCAACTGCACTAGAATATGGTATGTTCATCATGGATTCTTTCTCCAAATCATTCTTTGGGCATTGACTAAGATTAAGTTTATCACCTTTAACAATGAGTGCATTCCTAGCCTTACAACTTTGTATGTTAAATTTATTAAGCGCATGATTAATGTAAGACCTTTGCAATAGTCCCAACAAATTTTGAGATCTATCTCTATGAATTTCAATCCCAAGAACAAAGGAAGCATTCCTAAGGTTTTTATATCAAAAGTCTTGGAGAATAGCTACTTAATTTCATGTAACAAACCAATATCATTACAAGCCACTAAGTGTCATCCACATATAACACAAGAAAGATATATTTACTCCCCCTAATTTTAAGGTGTATGTATTGATCAACTTTATTTTCCTCAAAACCAAGGGAAGTAACTATCTGATCAAATTTTAGATACCTTTACTTAGAAGCTTATTTAAGGGCATAGATTGACGTTTTAAGTCAACTTACTAAATGTTCCTTTTCAGATTCTTGAAATCTTTTTGGTTGCATAATGTAAACCTTTTCTCTAAAATCACAATTGAGAAAAGCCGTCTTTACATCCATCTAATAAAGCTTCAAGTTAAAGTGTACTACCAAGG